CGATAGGCGCCTGGAGTTCAATGTTTGTCAATCAGTCACTGAGTAAACATTGGGCTAAATCTGCGATTAATTTTCGTGTTAATACATACCATCGCCAGTGAAGTAATAATTAGGATATTTGTGGAAATATGTCTTTTCGTAGAGATTATAATCGCCGTAAAGAGTTCTGGCGATCGATGGAAAGGCAGTCTATAATAAATAGTTATATTATGTTATGTTTCATTATATTAATCCAACAATAAATTCAATTCATTTACTTTAATCAAAAGAGTTCCGTTTCCCTCTCCCTCTAACTCGTGTCCATTTTCATCAATAATGACGGGTTGGACGCCGAAGAATGGCAGCGAAACAGATCCCACTTTAATGGGAATAACACCCGGAATCGGGAATATAATGGGACAGCCCTTCAAATACATAAATGAAATTATTATTATTTTTAAATAAATGGTTATTTACAAACCGTTTCGCTCTGGAAATACGTGTTAACGATAGGACATCGTTGACGTCCAATCACTTCGTACAACCACTTCCACGTCTCGCCATCAATGGTCTCACCGACAACTCCAATCACTTTCAAGTCAGCCATTGGGTAGTCATTTGGGTATTGATCGCCAAATGATCTCAAATTTCTGATGTCCGTCGGATTGACGTAAAATATATTCACTTTGTATTCATCGATGATTCTCCACCAGCGGCCAGGGGTTGGGTACGTCTGCGAGCCCTCCGACAGCACAACTGTGGCCGCATTGGCCAGCGATCCGAACACATGACTGAATTGGCCGGTAATCCAACCCAAACAACCCGAACAGTACACCACATCTCCGTCCGTATAATTGAAGGCGTGTTTGAATACAAGAGCACTCATTACCATAAAACCACCGCTTGAATGAACGATAGCCTTCTGTTTGCCAGTACTTCCACTGAATTAATACAAATATGGGTTAATTAAAAGTAGATTATTATTTATATTTAGACCAAAACCTCGAAAATATGACAAAAAGTGGATCTTCGGAGTCGACCCAAACGGGTGGACACTCTGTGTCTGCCTTTTCAATCAAGTCGTGCCACCAGTGATCAAGTCTTGGGTCCAAATCGCTATTATAATCACTAATATTCGGGCTATAGTTTCCATCCGATAAATACTTGATAAAAATTCTGGCTTTGATTTCGTGATTACTATTGAAATAAAAGACAACTTAAGACAAACAGTAATAAAACTGTTGAAAGAATTATACTTTTGACGACAAATATTAATCGCTTGGTCTGAGTATTGTTTCAAATCATTAAACCGTTTATAACTGTAATAGACATCAGATGTGATTAAAACTTTACACTTCAAGTCAAGCATACGTTGAGCCAAACATTGGGCAGAATATCCCGGGAACTGTTGGTTACGCAAAGAAATAACATGTTTTAAAATAAAACAATTTGTGGTCAAAAATGGTGTAATTAATACAGTGTTGGCGTAAACCACTCCCAGCCTTATGGCGGCCAACATAGAGATCACCGTTTGGATCAAATCTGGCGTATAGTTGATAATAGTGTCGCCCTTTTTAAGGCCCAACCCTTTCAAGACGTTAGCGAATCTGCAGACTTGATCCCGAAGTTGGCTATAAGTCAATGCCATATTCAGCTCAAACTCGTGGCCAACCCTTCAATCAAATGCCACAACAATTATAAGAGCGGATCAATTGGTGGACACAAACCAGTGGTAAGCGATTCGTGAGCCAAAGCCTAAGGCAATGTTTCTGTCGATGAGATTATGGCAGACATTGGTTTGGGAACCGCTCATGAAATGGACGTCAATGGGTGCCGAAGATGTGTCAAAATTGTGGCCAAAACGGGGCGAATGGCCAGCGATTGTGTGCCAATCAAATGTGTCGGCCATTCGCCGCCAAAAGTCGGTCCCATTTGTGACGGACTCGTCGTACAGACGCCTGTAGTCATCGATGGTATGCATGTTATCACTCATTATCACCGCTTGTCATCAATGGTCAGCTCATTGTCACTCAAACATCACATCATATTTATTGAACTCAAAACCAAAACAAACTTTTCATTTCATTCACAACTTTTCACAACAAAGTCACGTGTTTTAGACATTCATTCATACGATTGGATGTTAGCGTACAGTAGTATGAAGTGTAGGTGTGTTTTGTAATGCACTACTTGTACTGTATATGCAATTTTGCCCATGGTAATTTGGTCATTTTGGTTAATTTATTAATTCAGGTATTGAATACAAACCGTTTTATTATTTCAGTTAATCAATAATTATTTCATAATAACTATAACTATAAGTAAAAAACTAAATAATTTACTAGGAATAAATTTGCCAATATTTCACATGTTAATTGGATATGTCATTATAACTGCAGTAACAAACATGTTATAAACTTATATACAAAATTAGCATGATGTAAAATGTGAAATAACATATTATTATATGTAATATAACATAAAATTATATCGTTATGTTGTATTATTATTTCATTATATGTAAATTTGCATAAGAATATAGGGCAATTAAGTTTGAATTATTTATGCAACTCTTAAGATCAATATTTAAATAACTTCTATTACTTTATTCACAATTTAAGGACAAAGTATTGTTGCAATAAATGAGAGTAAAAATGATGGAAAAATTTGTCAAAAATGTGTTTAAAATAATTTCGCGACTTTTGTGTATAATTGGATGCGTTTATCAATCATATCAAATAAGTTCACTATATTTTTCATACAAAACCACAACTAATGTCAGGTATGAGATGTCGGGCGAGTATTATCCGGCGTTTACTCTATGTATGAATAAATTTGCTATAATTCAGCACTCATTTGGTCTCAATTTGAGTCAAACTGATATTAATAACATGTCGATTGACAGACAACTTAAGATAATAGCATCTCTAAGGCGATGGTTTACCTGTTCCGCCAAATCATCAAATGAACCCTGGATTCCGTGTAATTATTTGTCCAAATATCTCGAGTCCATTACTTGTAGATATTATTGCATAACATTACTGGCAAAGGGTTTGTCCAAAAAATATATCAAAGATCACATAAGATTGGAATCACTGACTATAAGAATACCAATGGAAAAGTGGTTACAACGAAAGTTTGTTTATTTTCACATTCACTCGCGATTTGAACGTATTCTCGTCGCCAACAGAAAGGGTTATACAATTCTGTTGCATAAGAATACCACGGCTTATAACATAAGATATAGGAAAACATTATTGATATACAGAGTGAACCACTATTCAAACGAATGCGTTAAAAGACAGACAAGACATGAATGCGAATATCAATGTTTTTATGAAACCTATTTACTGCAAAACAACCAAGTACAGAGAAATTATATAGTCTATAGTGATGGTGATAACACCACTAAACAATATAACTATAACTATACGAATGATCACTTTTCGGAGACAAGGAATGAGACACTTATGAAAAATGTTTGTCAATTAAAATGCAGTCATAGAGTAGAGTGTAGTCAACATTATTATACTATTGATGATCGCATGGAAAGCATGAAATTTTCAAGTGATTCCTTGAATATCAACGTTAAGTTTCCGACCGAACCGACGACTGTATACGAGATATCTCTCAAAATGTCTTTTGAAGAGTATTTTACTTTAATGGGAAGTCTTTTAAGTCTTTATTTTGGATTCACTTTTTTAGTATTCACTAAATTTTGCGAACAAATGCTTATAAAAGTTAAAATATATAATAAATGCCTAAAACAAAAGAATACAACTAATCTCAAACATTACAATAATAATAATATTAAACTATTTGTTAACACTATTCCTAAACACAATATTGTTAAAAATAACACATATATTCCCAACATTATTAGAATTAACTAAATTGATTATTAAAGTACTAACTGTAGTAATATGTAAACTATTTTAATATACCATTTTACTATTGACATTGACTTTAAATTTTTCCATTACGTAATGATTACAACTAAAATCCTTTAAATCTTGAGGCCTGAACATTAGGTTCAATTATTACCATTGAAATATATGTACACCTCAATTTTTATTACGTTTAATTTAATGGTCAAATCTAATGCAATCATAATGAATGAACATAACATTAAACTTAAACCCCTGTTAGACTTTAAAAACTGATACGGCATTAGTAAAGTACTGAATATTTTATTTGTTGCGTAATATTGAATTGTATAATAATCCATTATATTGAATAATATTATAATTAATTTATAAACATATTTCTAATTATATGTTACATGTTTGATATTGATCATTGAAGATAACAATAATAGTCCAAATTTTGTTCATTGCCTCTTGATTTATTAAAAAAATTATTCATGTGCATTTAATACTGTAGTTATAATAAATAGCTATTTTTCAATTAATGCTATTTTATTATTACATTTAATCAATAATTATTTCATAATAGATATAAATATAACAAATAATTTATTATAATTAAGTTTGTAAATATGGAAAATATTTCTAATGTTAATCGAATATATTATCATGAATACAGTAGAAAATTATGTAGAAAATTAACATGGTCTAAAAAAGGACATATGACGTAAAGGTATTTCATTATATTAATATTTAAATTAACATAAGAATAAAGGACAATTAATTTTGAATTATTTATAGGACTCATATGATTAATGTATAATAACTTGAATTACTTTCATATACTTTGTACACAATTGAAGAGCAAGTGTTGAGAGTAAAAATGATGGAAAAATTGTTTAAAAATATGTTTAAAATAATTTCACGACTTTTGTGTATAATTGGATGCGTTTATCAATCATATCAAATAAGTTCACTATATTTTTCATACAAAACCACAACTAATGTCAGGTACGAGATGTCGGGCGAGTATTATCCGGCGTTTACTCTATGTATGAATAAATTTGCTATAATTCAGCACTCATTTGGTCTCAATTTGAGCCAAACTGATATCAATAACCTGTCGATTGACAGACAACTTAAGATAATAAGGTCTGTAAAGCGACGGTTTCTCTGTTTTGCCCAGTTATCAATTGATTCCCGAATTCCATGTAATTTTTTGTCCAAATATCTCGAGTCAATTACTTCTAAATATTATTGCTTAACATTACTGGCAAAGGGTTTGTCCAAAAAATATATCAAAGATAATACAAGACTGGAATCATTGTATATAATAA